GGGATGTTTAAGATGTATGGGATGGTGAACAGTGTAATTATAAATGTATTACAGAAAGTAATTACATGCATGTATTTAAGCAAATAAAAATACAATGTAAAAATATGTATTTATGTTTTTTTTAGTACACATTAGTTAAGACCAATATAAATGTGACCATAAAAAGCAATTAGTTTATTTACTCCAAAAAGACAGTAAACATGTTGCCTTAAAAGTAAATGTAAAAAATTAAATGAAAATAAAAAAGTCAACTTACTGTCGCAGTACCAAGTTACAATGAGTTCACTAAGTTACAATGAGTTCACTCACTTTTTGAAGTAGCTTATAACTTAGATACCTAAATGGGATAGTTGAAATTCATTGAGGGTTAATGTAATAGGGCTTTAAAGAAAGTACTCCAGGAGTTCTGACGCCTTGATGTTATGATAGTCTGAGAAATCTGAACCTTTATTTCATGGCTAAAATGAAATATATATCAAAACCTCACTCATGAGAATTTGGCTGAGAATAATAATTGAATTCAGATGGTTTCCTCTGAAAGATTACAAGAGATTCCATTAAAGACCTGAATATAAATGACTATAATCAGCTGCATTCTTGTTATAGAGAGAGACACTGCTTGAAAAGCCTACGATGTATCTCTAATCGTTTAAATTCTTCTTACATTTCAGTCCAAGAATTTAGTTTAATTAGGCATAAAAAGTATGCGGTAATATTAATAAGCATTATGCAAATTTATTTTGAGTGCTACCAACACAAGACTGTGACTTCAATGCAGTGTTTACTTAGCAGTTGACTCTGGTTTCACATTTCAAGTTATGCATTTATATGTTCTTACACACATAAATCAATCACTGACACTGTTTGTTTGACACGCTGAATATCTTGCATACTGTGAAGTAAGTACCTTGTGACATTTTGATTGCAGAAAGTTCTGCCTGGTAATTTCTGTACCTTTAAATGCATTACATTCAGAAGCCGAGTAATTAACAGACAGCTGCTTTAATACAAGTAAATCGAAAGATCCTCCAAATGCAATCAGTTGGTAAATAGAATTTGTTGTTTTCACAATCAGAAAGTAAACAAGATACTCTATAGGGAGTAGGAGTGGTTGTCTTAATTGCTTTGTGTTGTAGGCAAGTCAGGACGCAAGTGAAATAAATACAGTTTTAGCCGCCCAGCCTCTCACTTTAAGTAATACAGCTGTCATGAAGTAAGAGGGTACTTATGTCCTCATTTAGTAATGCGTCTGTATGATCTGCTAATCAGTGCTGAAGTTGTACTGTATATAATGCAGAAGACATCTGTAAAGGAATTACTCTGCAAACAAAGAATGAGCAATATGTGGTGTTAGCAGGCACCACTGATGGGACTAGTTTAACTTTGTTGCCTTGTTGAAATATCTTTTGTTCATTAATATACTTCAGTAAACCCTGTTCAGATTGCACATTTTCCCTACAGTTTCAGCATGATATAGGGGACTTGTAAATAACAAATGAACATTGGAACACAAGATTCAATTATTTATTTGCTATAGCGTGTTATAGTGCAAGGGCATGCCACATTTACACAGAGGCTGATTTGCAATATAAGTTCTTAAGCGATATTGCATCTTAGCAATATCATGTAATGTCATAGTCAACCACCAAAGTTTAGTTCTAATAGTCAAGATCGCAAAAACAGGAGATGCATAAATAGACCCGGATGTGTTCTTGATGTTGCAAAAAAACAATGGACACTCAGAAATCAATGAGTCCCAGAAATCATTGCAGCTAAATAAAGGAGGAGGAAAGCGCAATGTTTTATATTCACTGTTGGTTACTCTTCAGAGATATAACTTCTTTTTCTCTGTAAAATGAGATGGTAAAAGTAAGCATTTACACAACAAAATTCAGTAAAGGCACAAACACCTTGAAATATGTTCTTTGGATAAATTCATTCAATTATTTTCTGGTAAAACTTGTGGAGATCAAGTGATCAACAGGAAGATCACAGCATTTCATTTCTCACAGGACCCGTTCTTTGTTCGATATTCCCTGGTAACTTGGGCACGGTCCGTACTCCATGAGAATGCTAGTCCATTCTCTGCATTCTTGTTATTGAGAAACTTGGTCTCGTGAACACGGAAGTGTACCACAGGTGCCGTGAGGGCACAATTGGTAAAGTGAGTTCAACTCATGGGCGAGGCAGTAGCGCAGTAGTTAGTGCTGTCGCCTCACAGCAAGAAGGTCGCTGGGTCGCTGGTTCGAACCTCGGCTCAGTTGGGTTTTCTGTGTGGAGATTGCATGTTCTCCCTGCCTTCGCATGGGTTTCCTCCGGGTGCTCTGGCTTCTACCACAGTCCAAAGACATGCAGTACAGGTGAATTGGGTAGGCTAAATTGTCCGTAGTGTATGAGTGTGTGTGAATGTGTGTGTGGATGTTTCCCAGAGATGGGTTGCGGCTGGAATAAATACTTGCTGGATAAGTTGGCGGTTCATTCCGCTGTGCCGACCCCGGGTTAATAAAGGGACTAAGCCGACAAGAAAATGAATGAATGAATGAGTTCAACTCATTTGATTCATAGTTGGGGCGTCATGATGACACAGTGGGTAGCACAATCACCTCACAGCAAGAAGGTTGCTGGTTCGAGCCCTGGCTGGGTCAGTTGGCATTTCTGTGTGGAGTTTGCATGTTCTCCCATGCTGGCGTGGGTTTCCTCTTGGTGCTCCAGTTTCCCCCACAAGTCCAAAAACATGTGGTATAGGTGAATTGGGTTAGCTAAAATTGTCTGAAGTCTATGAGTGTGAATAGGTGTGTATGGATGTTTCCCAGTGATGGGTTACAGCTGGAAGGGCGTCCGTTGCGTAAAACATGTGCTGGATAAGTTGGTAGTTCATTCCACTGTGGCGACCCAAGATTAATAAAGGAACTAAGCCGAAAAGAAAATGAATGAATGGTTCATAGTCCTGATTCAACTGGGTTGACCAAAATTTCTGACATGTCATCATCTGATCATCTGATTGCCAGTAGGTACAGTATAGATTAATTGTCTCTCTGTTCTCCTGCACACAGCACAGAATGACAAATGACCAACAACAAAGCTAAAATTTGGCCCGATTCAAAGAAGAGTCACACAAGTCAGAATTTGACCTAAAATTGGACCAAAATCTCACAATCTATGCCAAGCTGAACCACCCTAATCTAACACAATAACTGTTGTCTCAATTGGGGCAATTTATTGGCTTCATTTAAAATGATTTATTTAGATTAATAAACAAAGTCCCTTTTAAAATCATTCACTTTGGCAGTCATCTTGGAAATGCCACCATGCAACTATTTTCACTAATGCGAGAATATCATGAAATTTTATGAAACAAAAAGTCTGTCACAATTCTGGTGTATCTACGTTGCATTTTATCATGTGATTCCCCATGTGCCGTGCTCCATGTGTTTTATGTTTGCGTCATATCATTCCTTTGTTCTGTTTTCCCGCTGTGTGTTAGTGTTCAGCATTTCCACCTGTGTCTCACCCCTGTTTGTATTCAGTTCATTATGTTTTGTGTATTTATACCTCTGTATTTTGTTCAGTTCTTCATTTGGTTTTGAATTGTTAACCCTCCTTGTGATTCCTGTGTGCCGATTTTCTGTTTTTGTTGTAAGTGTGCGTTTTTGTAAATAAATAGTGTGTTTTTGACATCTCAGAGTCTCGATTGTCTGTGAGTGAGCGACACCTGTGACAAAGTCAACAGTGGTGTTTTCTGAGCTCAAATCCCTTTTAGTTTGGTTCTTTTCTAGTTTCCATGGAGTGTCACTCTTTCTCCTATAAATGTTTATAGAAATGTGCATTTCTGAAAAGGAATAGACAACAAAATAATTGTTTCTATTCAAAAGTGGAGTTGGCAAGACCTTGTCAAGTTCTGTTTGTTTCCGTTGCATTGACGTTTAGTTTATGTTTCCTTGGTTACCTGTCATCTTTTGTTCCATTTTCAAACCAGTCAATCATTATTAATCATTTGAGTCATATTTTCTATTACTTCGCAGTTATTAACTTTTGATTAGTTCAAAGAATCCATGTGAAAAAAATTATTTCTTGACCAACGACAACAATAATAGTATATATATATATATATATATATATATATATATATATATATATATATATATTCATTCATTCATTCATTTTCTTTTCGGCTTAGTCCCTCTATAAATCCGGGGTCGGAAAGAACCGCCTACTTGTCCAGCATGTTTTTACGCAAAAGATGCCCTTCCAGCCCCAACCCGTCTCTAGGAAACATCCACACACACTCATACACTACGGACAATTTAAGCTTACCCAATCAAAAATCAACCAGTCCTTTATTATCCTTGATTAGTTTCAGTTGTTCAAATTCAGCCTATACAGTAAGTGAAATGTTCCAATCTATAGTACACACTGTATTTTATGACCGTGTCAATCAGACTGATTTGATAGGAAGAGATTAACAAGGAAACAAGAAACCACAGTGTTTCTGGGAAATATGCAACTGTGGATTTGTTCTATATTATTTTTCTTGGTGGTCAGAACGAATACTTTACAGCATGTCACAAAGCTGTATGCCACATAATATTAACTTCTTGGTTATTGAACTGTTGCATAAGATCTTACAGTTGCATTTGTGCTGATATTTGGTAAAACAACACTCATGTATTGCTAACTAAATTCTAAATTGCTAAATTTTATATACTTTACAGTATAAAAAAATGGAAACAAAAGTTCATGCAGGGACATTCAGTATCCTTCCCACATTAAATCTGAGGGTAACATGTATTGTTATAACTTTCAACCCCTAAATATTTCATACCCTGATGTATCTGTTTTTGTGTAGTGGCACGATAATGGTTGATGGGCATCTTTTTCAAGCAGATTGGCCAGTTCAAGTGAAACAAAGCTAAGGCAGGCTGTACTGAATGAACTGGAGTACATTATAGTGGATAAGCAGAATTGCTGAGGAAGAACCGAATGGTCAGTGTCTCTGGTACCTGCTGTGTTTGAGGTTACTGGTCGGGCAGCACCATCACACTTGGTCTCGCAGAGGAAATCATCGATGGAAGGGCTCAGCAAGGGACGACTCTCTTGTTGCTCGCTCACCAGCTGAAAAACCAAGTAGAAGAGTGTGATGAGATCTACATTCATTCACTTGGCCTCCTGTACTCCGTTTTCCTGAGCTGAAGCCAGCCTCTATTTGCACCCTGACTATTTGTGTGTGATTGGTAATACTGGACTGAAGTGAAAATTCTCACCTTGCCCCCCTCTGACAATCATCCTAATCCTAAGTATATTTCTCTCTCCAGTTCTCACTTAAACAGAGGTAAGGAAGGCCGGTACAAATAGTGCACGTGCCATGCTTGTTTTTCCATTTGAGAGCACAGAGTAATTGTGTATGCATATAATTATGACAAGGTGTGAGGCTGTCTTTATAAAGCCCCTCATCAGTGCATGGTGTGTGTACCGTGTGACAGAATGAGTGTATGTACTCTTGAGAGACTGGCGTAGAGGTGGCCCTGTGTCTAACAAAATGGAAAAAACACATCAATCATCATCTGCTTGTTCTCATGGTGTTCATTCAGCCATGCCACAGTCTCGTCAGAGGAGAGCACTTTTGTGGGCAGCGCATGAGTACAGCAAATCTACATTTTCAGCCATAACTAGCTCTTATTCCAAAATGCAATATCTTTGTCTGGAGACAGAGACTTTAAAGAGATTTACGATGCTTAATCTGTGTCCTCAGTGTGGATAAATTCATTATTTTTCTTACCACAATTATATTAACTATATGAAATATAGTAAAAAAAAAAGCCTAGTAAAAGTATGTGTCTGTGTTTGCATCAGAGGCTCTGTTAGACTCTTTCGGGAATTCTAGCAAAATTCTGCTGTGCCAAAGCAAAAAAATTTCAAATAATCCTTGTCTAAAGAAGATTACCCTATAGTGACCTGAGAAACAGACTAATCTGTTAATTGGTTTTGATAATCTTTATTGTTGTCATCATTTAAGACATGAAGGCTGAACAAACCAGCCGAGGTGAACATTTCTAATTATATACATCTTCATCCTCTTGCACTCCTCTTCCCTTCTTCAAATTTGCTTAAGGTGTAGATATGGAAGTCAGCTAGCCGAAAAGCTAAGGCTTAATGTTAATGTGTAAATCTCTTTACATATAGATTTTGAGGAATGAGCCTTTGCATATAATTTAGATACATATTTTATTATATTCAACATTATAATATAAACGGGGCGAAGCAGTGGCGCAGTAGGTAGTGCTGTCGGCTCACAGCAAGAAGGTCACTGGGTTGCAGGTTCGAGCCTCGGCTCAGTTGGCATTTCTGTGAGGAGTTTGCATGTTCTCCCTGCATTCGGAATGTGTTTCCTCTGGGTGCTCCAGTTTCCCCCACAGTCCAAAGACATGCGGTACAGGTGAATTGGGTAGGCTAAATTGCCCGTAGTGTATAAGTGTGTGTGTGAATGTGTGTGTGGATGTTTCCCAGAGATGGGTTGCGGCTGGAAGGGCATAAAAACGCGTAAAAACTTGCTGGATAAATTAGCGGTTCATTACGCTGTGGCGACCCTGGATTAATAAAGGGACTAAGCTGACAAAAAAAATTAATGAATTATAATATAAACCAGTTATGATGCAAATAGGGGCGGCACTGTGGTGCAGTGTGTAAAACTGTCACCTTACAGCAAGAAGGTTGCTCGTTTGGGTCTCGGCTGGGTCAGTTGGCATTTCTGTGGAATGTTTGCATGTGTTTTCCATGTTCGCATGGGTTTCCTCTGGGTGCTCTGGTTTCTCCCACAAGTCCAAAGACATGCGCTATAGGTGATTTGGGTAAGCTAAATTGTCCATAGTGTATGTGTGTATGTCCTGGTCCTCTAGGTTGGGGGCTGAGTATTGGGCTAACAACCCACATCGTAAAAATTAGATGTTATGGAACACCATTATGGTGCAGCTAAATATCAACTTTGATATAAACTTCGTAATAACTTTGATATAAACAAAGTTAGATACAAATATATATTTGATATAATCAGAGCAGGTAAGTATTGTGTAAATACAACATTTGCATTAAGAGTGTTAAAGTATAGAGTGTTCAAGCCCCTGTGAAAATGAGAAAAAAAATGATAGAACTGTACATGATTCATGTACATGATTATGGGTTTGGTGCTTGAAAATATACAAGTTTCCAAGTTAGAGTTCATGTAAATTCTAACATTTTCTAACATTTTGTGGAAATGCCATATCTGAATGTGTATTATGTGACATGCACAAGTAGCCAATATTTGACTAGGAAAACAATTAGGACAATATACAGTAGGCCTATATAGGCAAGCTTGTGTATGCATGTGTGAACGAAGTGCAGGGATGGAAGGTAAATATGAAATATAACTATTCGTGTTACTGTATTTTAGTAAAGTTTTGTATCATTTGTGCCATTTTGAGTAATTTTTTTATACTTTTACTTTTTCAGTTCAGAAAAGTTCAGATATTTGAACCGGGAAAAGCAAAACGTTTCGACAGCTTCATTTAAAGAACTAAACATAATAATCAACATTCACACAATGAATGAGCTCAGACTGAACATATGGAGAACTACATAGTAGTGTTACCAAACTACCCATATTTGAATACATATCAATACTGAAATAAGTTTCCAATAATAATTTTCCACATACTGTATTTACAAACAGACACATCTTGCTCTTTCCTCCACAACAACGTCCTGCCTCATGTCACTCATGTCACTTAAACTGAATTTGAGAGTGGGATTGCAGGCATTGTGCAAGATGACTTTAAAATCTTATTAGCAGTCTTTGCTGTTAATATTGCTTAATATTGTTTTAATATAAAACATTAATCAGTTAGGTTAGGTTTCAGATAAGAAACTGATTAAAAATACTGTAACCCATTGTCGTATTAATGCTCCAAAACTGTACTCAAATGTAAATAGCAGCTGCTCCTAAAGTCACCTCAATTAAATTATTTTTTATGGTGTTTTTGCAAACACATTACTCCAAAGACATACGCTATAGGTGAATTGAGTGAGAAAATAAGGGGACATTTTTAATACTTAATGGGGACTGTTTCCCAGTATGAATCAATGGCTAGAAACTGCTGTGTGTTTTCTGAAAATAGTGCAAGGATACTTATTTTAGGAAAACTGCAGGCTGTATAAAAAGCACTGATGTAATTTCATGTCACATTCATATATCCTACACACAGGCTTAACAACAACAGACTCTTCAAGCAACACTGCCTAAATTAATGGACAGTTGTGTGTTTATCACTTAAAGCAAATTGGAATAAACTATAAATTGATTAAAACCTCGGACCTTATCTAGACTGGCTTAATTGAGGGCTGCCTTACAGTATTTTCCCTCCGATGTCTTTGTAATTGGTCCAAAGCTAAGGTTAGGTCATAGAGACAAAAACCAATAAGAATCAGTTTTTAGAATTGAGAAGAATCAAGATTTAAGAAAAATTAATCATTCATCCAATTAATAATATTCCTTCGACCCCCAACGAATACCCTTCCAGCTGCAACCTAGTATTGGGAAAAATCCGTATACACTCATTCACACACATATACTTTTTTTATCCAATTTACCTACACCACATGTCTTTGGACTGTAGGGGAAACCGGAGCACCCGGAGGAAACCCACACGGGTAGAACATGCAAACACTTCACACCAGCTGTGGAGATGTGGAAATGCCAACTGACCCAGTGAGGACTCGAACCAGTGACCTTCTTGCTGGGAGGCGACAGTGCTAAGCACTGAGCCACCATGTTGCCCAAAAATAAACCATTAGCAACAAAACAAAAATTGATGTAGTGCTTGACAACTCTATATTTTGTATTTTTAGGCTGTGTAAGCAACTGTATAAAGAATTGTGATCACTACATACAATAACGTAACAGAAACTTTGAAACAAATACTGAATATTCATGAATGCTGCGTATGTTGGCCAGAGCGCTTGGGAGAACATTCCTGTTGTAAGAGTGTGTGCCAGAACGCTGACCCAGCAGTCTTAATTGGGTTGCACAGACATCTCTGGCTCTGCTGGTGTCAGGGAGGAGATTTATTCCTTCACTGGCTGGAATGCCTGATGTTACCCAGGCTGAACTCTCACTCTAACAACACCTTGTACATGTTTGACAGAAGTATAATAAATAATGCCACTGCAACTGTTGTCTTCACATCTTATGCAACAAAAACAAAATATATGCTTTTATTTAAGAGCTCAGATTTGCTGATTAGCAAGCATTTGAAGTGTCAGGCTGTGTTATGTAACAGCATTTCCCGGTCGGATGTTTCATTACTATAGGTGAGCCGAATTTGGAGCACACTTTTAATTTAAAACACTTCAAGTCTAATAATAAAAGCGTAACTTCCTCCCTTGTGAATGCCAGCAGAACAAGGGCCGTAATTTTGAAAATGTTTTGGCTCTACTGCTTAATTAGTTTCCTCTGTATTCTGTTTAAAACTGTTTTTTTACTTCAGGCACAAATGAGTTGCTGACATTAATAGGAATTATTAAGAGGACAAAACTCATTCTTGTAATTAGAGAAGATAATGTAGTGACAACAGTTGATTTATTTTATTAACTCACTTTGCTTATTTCAAATGGCAGCGCGGTTGATTGATGATTTTTCTGTCTGAGGGAAGAAAACACATTAGGTGGATCTTCATTTAAATGTGCATTCAGAAGTTTGGTGCTAATTAAAATTAAGTATTTTGTGAAGAGTCATCTGAAAGTTGTGCACAGACATGAGAGGAAGAATGTAATAATAATAGTTTTACAATAGAAATAGAAAACCATTATGTGATCATATAAATATGAGGTGGCATCTTGGTGGTGCAGTGGGTAGCATGATCCCCTCACAGCAAGAAAGTCGCTTGTTTGAGCCACAGTTGGATTAGTTGGCGTTTCTGTGTGGAGTTAGCATCTTCTCCCAGTATTCACAGTGGTTCACATTGGTTTAATCTGTGTGCTCTCCCCCTCCCCCACAGTACAAATACATGCGCTGTAGGTGAATTGAGTATGCTAAATTGTCCGTAGTGTATGAGTGTGAATGAGTGTGTATGGATGTTTCC